CTTCCACTATCCATCCAAATCCGAGATTGGTTTTTTTAAAAAAATTAGTTATAAATACAGAATCAATTTACAGATTAAAAGGGGGAAATGAGGCCAGAAACTATTTTGAAAAATTAACATTGCCTCTGTGTTGACTCCCTTGTTACAAAAAAAAAAAAAAAACCACAACAATAAAACCGCACAAACCCATTAAAAAAAAATAAAAAAAAAATCAAACAACCAGCAAAAGCCAAAAAAAAAAAAGTTTTCAATCGAAAATAAAGACCTTAAATTAGGAAGCTTAGGATTTTTTTTCCTGGACAAACCATTTTATAAAAAGTGTGAAGGAGGATAAAGGAATCATTTTAAAAAATTTTGAAATTTTTAAAAAATTTTGAAATTTTTTAAAAATTTTTTTGGAATCGTCGGATTCTGGAAAACTTGAACTTTTAGGGGCCGTAAGAATTTTTTGGCGCCAAGATTTGGGTTTAAGCCAAATTTTGGGTTTTATTTGCATTTCTTGGTGACCATTGAACATCCGACTGCCAGTTTATAGAAAACCCGCTCGAATCTTTGTTTAGTTGAATTTTTCGACCAGAGAGATAAAGAGAGAGAATCTGAGAGAGGAGAGAGAGAGAAAAAAGAGAAACAGTAAAAGTCAGATTTGGCTCCTAGCCCAGCAAAATGACGCAGTTTCTGATAGGGGAGATCCGTGTGTTTATGCGAAATCTAATCCAGAATCTGTCTTGAGCAGCTTGGGCGAAGCTGAGCTGACCCGTTCCTTTTCAGAAGTCGATTCTGAGCCGGATGAGTCGCTGTTGATTATTTTGATCAAGGGTGTTTTCCGTATTTTTTAAATATATTTTTTAAATTTATTTTTTAGCTAAATTTTTAAAAATATTTTAATATTTTTTACTTATTTTTTTGAGATTTTTTATTGTAAATTTGTGTGAACTTTGATAAGAAAAATAAAATAAATGAGAAAATATTTAGGAAAATAAAATGTCTTGGTAAATATTTATTGTAATAAAAATAAATAAATAATGGAATAAGAATAAAATAACAAGTGGTAATTTTATCAAAAGATTTTCTTAAAAAAATTTTACCAAAAATGTTGGGAATATTTTTGAGAATCTTTCTAATAAAATAAATAAAATGATAAAATAATAATAAAATCACAAATAGTGATTTTATTGAAAATATTCATATAAAGAAATTTTTTAAAATATTCTAAAAATGTTAGAAATGTTTTAAAAATTTTTAAACATAAAAAAGAACAATAATATTCACTTTGATTAAATAGCAAGAATTCAATAAATATATAAAGGAAAATATAACAATGAAAATCGAAATCACAAGTGGTGATTTCTAAGAAATGAATTGTTTAAAATTTTACCAAAAGTGTTGGTAAAGTTTTTTTAAAAACTTTTTTAATAAAAAATAATAATAACAAAACATAAAAAATTTTTAATTGTCAAAGAAAGTAAAAGTTCTTATGACAAGATAAAGATGAAGTTATAAGTGGTGATTTTATCTAAATTTTCTAGATGAGATTTTTTTCTAGATAGTCCAAAAGTATTAAAAATATTTTGAGAATTTAATCAACAAAATTTTTACCTACTTAAATAATAATAAATAATAAATAAAAATAGATTAAAATTCTCATTAATTAAGAGGAAGTTACAAATGGTGATTTTCCTCCGGATTCTATAATCATACTAAAAGTGTTGTTATAAGAGAATTATGATCTTCTTTGCTTCAAAAAATATTAAAATAATTTTTGAATATTCATAAGGTAGGAGATTTCTTAAGTTATATTGAAAATATCAAGAATGGCTTAGAAAATTTCCAATAATAAAATAAAAAAAATGATAAGTTAATAAGTAAAAGACTATTTGAATAAGATCAATTTAAGATCACATAAGATTAATTGGTACTATCTTCATATAGGTGCTATAGGGGTACTATAACATTTTCTACATATAACTGTACTCTCGAGCCCAACCTCAAATTCGTAAACCAAATAATAGAATTGATGGCCAATCGTACCTCAATAAAAAAGATTAGTGATGACTTTTTATTTTTTACGTCTAGCGATCGAGTCCTCAAACTGATACGTTATAACAATAAATTTAAATTAATTGATCATCAAGTTTTATCTAATATTTAATTATTTTTTAATTGAAAGCTATTATATATAATATATAGTTACAATATATTTTTCGGTACATGTTAAGTATTGAGTTAAAGAAAAAGATAATTCTCTTATCATGCATTATCTCATAAATCTAACACTTTCGATCTTAGAATTTGAATACGAAATTTTAAATTAAAATTTCAAATTTTAATCTTTTAATTTTTTAATATATTTTTAATTTAAAATTAATTGACAATAAATGAGATAATAGGTAAAAAGAGGAGCAGAAACATAAGCATACCATCTAATAAACTTGAAAGAGATAAAAAGGAGTAAGAGGCAAGAACAACATAACAAACTTATGCTCTATATTATATTAAACATTCATTCCAAAATCAATTGATAATAGATAGAAGGGTCTTTATATAAATATATAAAGATAAAAACTTTTGATTAAAAAGGAAAAAATTCAATGTGAATGGTTTTTTTTTACACATAAATTGCCTAATTTGATGTCATGAATCTTAAAACTTATATAAATATATAAAAGTTAAAACTTTTGACAAAAAAAAATTCAATGTGGATGGTTTTTGTTTTTTGACATATTATTGCCTAATTTGATGCCATGTGTCTATTAACTAATCCAAAATTAATTATTAGTTTTAAAATACTTAATTGATAACAAAATCAATTAAATTTGTTTGTAAAATTGACTAGCAAAATTTTTGGAATGAGATTATTACTATATTACTAAGAATTTTATTTAAATTCGTATAATTTTCATGGTCTAATTTCAAGCTTGAATATCTTTTATTATTGGCAACATTAATGAAAAATACATGATAATTTAATTATAAAATTCAAATTCAAAACATAAAGGAGTAAATAACTCAAAAATTAATGCAAATCATATCGATTTGATTTTATAAATATTACTATTTAAGCTTTGTTTATGTCACAAATTTAAAAAAGCTTTAAATAGTATTTGTCACTTGCCTTATATTTATACAAATATTTATAAATCAATTTGTAATCAAAATTTATGTTCTTATTATTATTTATTTTAAATCATTTTCAATTAAATTAAAATTTTAATTTTTAAGATCCAACTTCAATATAAATAAGAATAGCTTTTTTGTGTTAGAATATTGTTTGGAGATCTGTTTCAATGCTTTTATTTTATTTTCCTTCTTTCTTATTTTTTATTTGTTCCATTTGTTTGTTTCTTTTTTCCATTTATTTTTAATATTTAAAATTTTTTATGAATTAGTTTTTAATTTTTACATATAAATGTTATATATGTGTTACGCTATGTTTGGATGAATATTAATAAAAGAAAGGAAGTGAAAGGAAAGGAAAAGAAAAGAATGGAAAAAAAGTTTTTTCAAGTAAAGGAAATGATACATGTAACCCTTGTGTGAATAATTAAAATTAATAAAGAAAAGGAAAGGAAATGAATTCTAACAATCATTGTTTGGATAAAGAGTGAAAAAAAATGATTCATTATAATAATTTTTTTCAATTATAACATTTCATTGCTTGTGATTTTGGAGCACTCTTAGATCATGATATATTTGTTATCTTGTCTGACCTCACAATTATTATTGTATCAATGTTTTTTAATCAATTGGAACCGGAAGATATTCTATAAATATGCATTGATAGATTTTGAGCTAGTTAGTCATTCATAAATCAAAAAAATATATCTATTCATATTCAACTATTCATCAAAATCAAATTATCAAAAAATTATAAAAAATTTTTATATTGAAAGAGATATGTGTAACTTACTTGAAAAAAGAGATGGCTTGAAAAAATTATAGGATAATTGTGATCTGCTTAGGTTTTTTATTAGGTTTTTAGTATTAATAAAAAAGATGGACATAATAGTCTTTTTATAAGAAAAATATTTTTCAATTTTCTTTTTCCTAACTTTTTCTCCAAATTGGGTATTTAAAAATTGAAATATTAAAACAAACCAATTATTTTTTTCCACCTCATTTATTTCTTTAATTTAAAAATTTATCGAAACAAGAAAAGAAATTTGTTCCTTATTTTCCTTATTACTTTTTTTTCTCTCCAATCTAAGTATCTGTTATTTCTAATAGTACTTCAATTACAAGTAGAATTCCCAAATTGTTTTACATTCAACATGAAGATTGGTACCATTATAACTACCAATGAAATCCAGCCGATGAAGAATCACTATTAAAATGATCACATATATTTCCAGAACCATATTGAGTTTCCAAAAAGCAGTCAATTCTTTACTTTCTTTGCACCTTTTGCTCCACTTTAGCACATCGCGCGCATCTTCAACAATATAATGAGAGTGCAAACATTATTGTTTGGAGGCAAAGATATAAAAAAATTAATGAATTAATGAATTTTTAATTTTTATGGATAGATGTATGTATGCATTTAGATGAATATTTACTACAAAAGTTTAGTACGCTTTCATATTGTTGTTTAATTGCTTTTGCTCAATACATATACAATTTTTTACTTTTTGTTGTATTTTAAGATATGAAGGGAAATGCGGAGAGGAATGAATCTATAATTTTTTTGGGCAAATACCTTTGAAATTAACAAAAAATATTGAAGAAATATAATATCATAAAAATGGTTTTTGATTGGTGGTAGAGTTTCAATGACATCTAAGACTGTGTCATTAATAAAACTCTATTATATCTATGAATATATACATAGGTTTAAAACTAGTTTAAATACAAAATCAGGTAACTCAATATTTACCATAAGTGTATAATACCATTAATTTAATAATGACGTGCCTTAAAGTTTAAAATTAGTTAATTTGCAACAAACGTGAGACGTGACAAAAGCATTGGGCTGATTTCTATTTTATCTCATGATGTCTACACCTTCTAGAAGTGCATATCTGCTTGCTATAAATCTTACACTTCCGTTTAATTAATGCCGCAGGCTTATGCAGCAATAGCAACTTTATTCAACCATAAGCTTAAAGCTGCAGAAAACTTACAGAGACATGGCTACTGATGAGACCGAAGTATTACCAGAATCATATCCCATGAATGGTGGTGATGGGAAAGTCAGCTATGCTCGCAACTCCTTCGCCCAGGTGCCTTCTTTTTTTTTTTTTTTTTTTTTCTATTCTACTGTAAATTCTTTTGAATCTGAAGTGTTTGGGCCACTAGATTTTTTTAGTACAAGAAGCTATTGCTTAAATGATCTTAACAAAAGACAATAATATATATTTTTTCTTTTTACTTGCAGAGGACATCAGTGGATGCTTCCAAAAAATTTATAAGTGAAGCAATAGCTGACCTTCTCGACACCGAATTGAATCCCATTCTGGATTCATCTATCAGATTTCAGATTGCAGACTTAGGCTGTGCGACTGGGCCTAACACATTTTATGCAGTGCAAAACATCATAGAAGCTATAAACAGCAAGTACAGTATGAACAAGCATCAGAAATCTCAAGCTCTTGAATACCAAGTCTTCTTCAATGATCACACCAACAATGATTTCAACACTCTTTTCAGATCCCTCCCTCTCCCGCGGCCATACTTTCCTGTTGCGGTGCCTGGTTCCTTTTATGGCCGCTTATTTCCTAAAGATTCTATTCATTTGATGCACTCATCTAATTCACTGAATTGGCTTTCTAGAGTTCCTAAAGATGTTGGAGATATCAACTCTCCAGCATGGAATGGAGACAGTATATATTGCACAGGAACTGCAAAGGAAGTAGTTGAAGCTTATTCAAATCAGTATAAGAAGGACATGAACAATTTTTTGAATGCTAGAGCTTTGGAACTTGTTGCTGGAGGGTTGTTGGTGTTGGTTGTTGGTGGTGTTCCTAATTGCGTCTCTTTAAATCAAACGGGCATCGGCAAGGATTATGAAATTATTGGCTCTTGCCTAGTTGACATGGCAAATAAGGTAAGTGTTAGATTTATAAGTCTTAATCCACTACAGCTCAATACATATTTATCCAAAAGGTTTGTCTAGTTGATAAGGAAAGGGATTCTCTTTTCTTCTTAATCACGATTCGCCTTTTGAGAAGCACTTCGAGAAGAGTAAAATTCTTATGCACTTGCACCAAACTGATGTAAGTGAATCTTTAAAATCTATCGTAAGTGAATCATTAAAATCTCTCGAAGAGAAAATTGGGATAGGATAAGACCTAGAGATATCTCTGATCTTATTATTAAAAAAATTTAAACTTAAAATATGCTCAGTTCTTTTGAAAACTAAAGGTGTTTTGTGTGTTGCAGGGATTAATTTCCAAAGAAAAAGTGAAGTCTTTTAATTTGCCACTATACTACCCCTCTCCTAATGAGATTGAGAAATTGATTGAAGACAATGGTTGTTTCGGCATTGAGAGGATGGAGACATTTCCTGGCAAGGGAAAGCACATTCACAACAGCCAAATGTGGCCAATGATTGTGAGAGCTGCCTTTGAGGCAATTATAAGTAATCACTTCGGAAATGAAATGGTTGAAGAGCTTTTTGGGTACTACTCTAAAAATCATATGGATAAAGTTTCTATCTTTAATGGCGATGATGTTATAAGTCTTCTACACTTGAATATTGTTCTTAAGCGCAAAAATTAGTAAAAGGAGTTATATTATGACTCTTATCTACAATTTGGTGAAAATTCCTTGGGCTTCATTGGAAATAAGCGGGCCATTGTCCTCAAGTCCTAGCAATTAACAACACTTTTTATCAACTCCAGATTTAGTAAGAAAGTTAGCCATCCCATCTATGTTTTATGGCGTGGTGGCAACACCATTTGCATCCTCGTTTCCTAATTGAATGTACAAGTTGTGTGAAGTTTATATCTTGTGGTGGATGTTTCTGTTTTAGACTTATGGGGCTCTTATTGGGTGGATTCTTTGTGGAGCTCATATTTTGTAAACCTCAGTTGCTTATCATCAATAAAGTCTGGTTTAGCAAAAAATAATACAACATTTGATAACTCCAACTGAAGTGGAAGATTGCAAAATGCACCGCAATTTTTGACTCTTTTAAAAATCAGTGACCGGATATAATCTGTTAAATTTTCACCCAAAGCAAACGTGGAGGGAACGATTGATTATGACAGGCTTCTTTCTCACACTAACATTGATCAGCTGTAAAAGTCCATTAATTCTGCTGTTAACAATTCAATTCCAATTATAAGTAGCTGTTGTTGAAACTATATATTTTGCGGTAATGGCTACTATGTCAAGAACAACAGTTTTCTTCTTAAACATTATTGTTAATTTCTTTTTCTATCATCACTTAGTTAACTATTATTTTATATTTTTTACGGTTATCCAAGTCACTTTTTATTATTTTATATTTTTAAAGGATTATCCAAGTCAGTAATGATGGCAATGTCTCGTTTTACTATTTTATACATTTTTAATGATTATCACCTATTAAGTACATGTGATAATAGAGCATATCAAATAATTTGATTTCATTTTAAAATAAGCTATTTTGAAATTTTAAATTCTATATTGGAGATTAATTGATTTAATTCTTTTGCAAGTTCAATCAGAATTGGACAAAGAAATTTGCTAATGTCTCCTCTGCAATTTGCAAATGAGAATCATTCTGTGAATCAAAAGCTAAACAATTATTAATGATTAAGAGAATTCTTAGTAGCTTTCAATTGTCTTAGGTCTGAAAGCCAAATTTTCCAGAAGTGTCTTGTTTGATATTAAAGTTGATTATCAAATTGTTGATGAATGGAGTACTAATATTCATTGTAGAGGACTCTTTTCTTTTTAATTGTACCCTTTTCTTCTTAATAAAATTCTGCCTTAATTTTAAAAAAAAATTCTTGGTCTTCCTTTGGGAGTTAATCCAAGGCTGATTGGCGGATGATTGATACTTTTAAGGGAAGACTTATCCAGAGGAAGAGTAAACTTTTGTCAATTGGTGCTAGAGTTGCTTTAATAAAATCTGTTCTAACAAATCTTTCGATATATTGTATGCCTTTGTTCAAAATGTCAAGTGGGGTGATTTTTTGAACTTGAAAAAAACACAGCATTAGCTTTTGTGAAGCGATCATGGCGATAAAAGAAAGATCGACGAGTTTAGTAGATCGGAACATGACTATGATTTGTAGAAGAAAACATTACGGTGGCTGGGCATAGTCAATTTTGAATCTTGCAATCAGGCCTATTGTTGAGAAGGCCTCATATATTTGGAAGAGAATTTAATGCACTTTGGAGGAATGTGATTTGTGATAAATAATTTTTCCTCAGCTGATCTATGGCCTACCACTTGTCCACGATCTCTTTCTTGTGTTTGGAGAGATATTCAACATAATTGGCTCTTGAGACTGGATTCTAACTTTATAAACATAATTTCCTTAGCTGATCTATGGCCTACTCCTTGTCCGTCTACTCCATGAGTCATTTTGTATATCTTGTTAGGCAAAAAAATTTTTTAATTAATTAAGTTAATAAAAATAAAATCAAATAATTAATTAAATACATAAAAAAATAATTTAATATGATTTGATTAAATTGATTTATATTTATGAATAAAAAATAAGATTTATTAATTATAAAAAATTATAAATAAATAATTACATCAGTCACATAAATATAAATATTTATAAATCCTCTTAATTTTCTTTAATTTTATAAAATATTATCAATTCAAATAAATATATATGTATCCTGTCAATATAAATAAATATATATTTACATACACCTATACATTATATTTATATAAATTTTATCAATTTTTTTAATTTATCCATAAATATTTAAATATATATATCCATAAAATATAAATTTTTAATAATAATCTTATAGTGTGTCTGTTTACGGCGTGGTGGTAACACCATTTGCTTTCACGTTTCCTGATTGAATGCACAGGTTGTGTGAAGTTTGTATCTTGTGGTGGATGTTTCTGTATTAGACTTACGGGACTCTTATTGGGTGGATTCTTTGTGGAGCTCATATTTTGTAAACCTCAGTTGCTTATCATCGACAAAGTCTGTTTTAGCAACAAAATAAAACAACATTTGATAACTTCAATTGAAGTAGAAGATTGCACAATGCACCGCAATTTTTGACTCTCTTAGAAGTCAGTGACTGGATATAATCTGTTAAATATTCACCCAAAGCAAACCTGGAGGGAAGGATTGATTATGACAGGCTTCTTTCTCACACTAACATCGATCGGCTGTGAAAGTCCATTAATTCTGCTATTAACAATTCAATTCAAATTGTAAGTAGCCATTGTTGAAAATATATTTTACGACAATAGCTAGTATGTCAAGAACAACAATTTTTTTCTTAAACATTATTGCCAAGTTCTTTGTTTTTATCACTTAGTTAACCATTATTTTATATTTTTTTAAAGATTATCCAGGTCAACGATGGCAGTCTCTTGTTTTACCATTTTATATTTTTGGATTAAAAACATATTTGACTTTTAAATTTTATTATTTTTATTATGTTAATATTTAAAAAAATTTTCTATCACATTGATATTTAAAATTTTAAATTTGTTATGTATTGATATTTTAGATTAATATTATTTGTCAAATTTGTTAATGTAATATAAATATCTAATAAAATATTAACATGTATAAAAAAAATTTAGTTAGCACATCTCATCCAAGCCATGTTATCATTAAAAAAATTTTGGAAAAAATTTTAAAAAATCTTACAAAATTCCAAAAATTATAAAAATTATGAAAAATTCAAAAATATTTAAAAATTTAAAAAAAATCTGAAAAATTATAAAAAATTTTAAGAAATTCTAAAAAATTCTAAAAAATGTTTAAAATTCTAAAACGGTAAAACAAATTTTAGGAAATTTGAAAAAAAAATAAAAACATTTAAAAATTCGAAAAAACATTCAAAAATTTTTAAAAATTATAAAAATTAAAAAAAATCTAAAAAACATTTGAAATTTTTTTAAAAATTCTAATAATTTTTCAAAAATTCTAAAAATTCTAAAATAATAAAAAATTTTAGAATAAACAAAAAAATTAGAAACTTTAGAAAATTCTGTGAAAATTTAAAAAATTCTAAAAACTTTAAAAATTTTAAAAAATATATAAAAATTTAAAAAAATTAGAAAATTTTTAAAAAAATTCAAAAAAATTAAAAAAATTGACAATTTTAATAAAAGTTAAAAGTTTATTAAATTAAAAAAAATTTAAAGGAACTAAAATAAAAAATAAATTTTTTTTGGAAGAATAGAATAATTTTTAGGAAATTTCAAAAATTTTAATAATAATTCTAAAATTTTTTCATATTTTTAATCATAGAATTTCAATTTTTAAATATTTTTAATTTTTAAATTCTTTTTTGAATTTTTGGAATTTTTAATAAAGTTTTTAGTTTTTAGTTTATTTTTTATTTTTTTAATTTTAAAGCATGTTTCAAAATTTCAAAATTATTTAATTTTTCAAGATATTTTAGAAATTGTATATTTTTTCTTATTTTCATTTTTTCAAGTTTTGTGAGTTTTTGAAAATTTAAGAAAATTTAATGTTTATAAATTTTAATTTTTTTGACTTTTTAAAAAAATTTCAAAAAATTTTTAAAATTTTAAAATGATGATAATTTTTATAATTTATAAAAAAAATTTCATAGTTTTAATTTTTTTATAACTTACACATTTTTTAAAAATTTGTATAATTTTTATAAAATTTTTAGAAAATTTTTCGAATTTTTTGGAATTGTTTAGAATTTGTTAAATTTTTTGAGAAATTAATTTTTGTGAATATTTAATCATTTTTAAAATATCAAAAAAATGTTTTTATTATTTTTTATAATTATTTTAAATTAAAATTTTTTTCATAAATTTGAAAATTTTTAAAACTTGTATAATTTTTTTAGAATTTAAAAAAAAATTTGTATTGTTTTAAATTTTTTTTAGGTTTTTAAAATTTTTTTGATGTTTTTAAAAATTTGTTAGAAAATTTTAAAATTTTTAAAAAAATTTATAAAATTTGTAAAAATTCTTAATATTTTTTAGAATTTTTAAACAATTTTTTAAAATTTTTTTATGCTAACATGACATTGATGATGTGGCATTAATTGAATTTTTTTAACACATTTCAGCATCTTATTATATGTTGATGCCATGTCTACAAAGTTAACTAACTACGTTAGCCTAGAGAACCAACATGATAACAGATTTGAAGGTTACTGTACCAATGTGATAAAAAAAATTCTTTAGATAAGAATGTGAAAAAAAATATAAAATTCAAGAGTCAAATATGTATTTAACTCTATATTTTTTAATGATTATCACCTATTAAGTGCATGTGATAATAGAGCATATCAAATAATTTGATTGCTTTTTTAATATAGACTATTTTGAAATTTTAAATTCTATATTGGATATTAATTGATTTAATTCTTTTGCAAGTTCAATCAGAATTGGACAAAGAAATTTGCTAATGTCTCATCTGCAATTTGCAAATGACAATAATTTTCTGTGAATCAAAAGCTGAACAATTATTAGTGATTAAGAGAATTTAGTTGCTTTCAATTGTTTAGGTCTGAAAGCCAACCTTTCCAAAAGTGTCTTGTTTGATATTAAAGTTCATTATGAAATTGTTGAGGAAGTACTAATATTCATTGTAGAGGACTCTTTTCTTTTTAAATATCTTGGTCTTCCTTTGGGTGCTAATCCGAGGCTGATTAGCAGATGATTGATACTTTTAAGGGAAGACTCAACCAGTGGAAGGGTAAACTTTTGTCAATTGGTGCTAGAGTTGCTTTAATAAAATCTGTTCTAACAAATCTTCAGATATATTATATGCCTTTGTTCAAAATGTCCAGGGGGGTGATTTTTTGAACTCGAAAAAAATACAGCATTAGCTATTGTGAAGCTATCATGGCGATAAAAGAAACAGCGATGAGTTTAGTAGATTGGAACATGA